TTGATATTGTTCATGTTCGCAACGCGCCAATTATGTTCATATTGAAATTGTGATCGCGTTTGCAAATTTTAGTGATGGCACTGATTAAAATTATTGTTTCGCAAATATTCTAATCAGTTGATTTACTTTGTCTATATTAATGTTATTTTTTCGTCTGATTGCTTCAGGCTGCATTCATTTGGCTGCCTTATTGCTTAAGTTTGATTTTGTGGAAGGTGTGCGATTCGTTTCATAGGTGCTCGAGACTAGTGAATGAAAAATTGCTATTGCTGATTTATTTCGAATAGTTTACAGGTTTACATCGATTACTCGATATTCTCGGCTCGATAATTCCGATGAAAAAAATGTCTTCGTTCGGTGAAAACGAGAAGGAAAACGAGCGTAAGGTAACGGTTTTTTCAAGCATTTCATTGACAAATTTCCATGCTTGCACCATCGCAGCAGAGGTGTTTCAGCTGTTTTGAGTAAATTTTCGTGAATTTTCCAGGAGAAACGCCTGTCGGTGGATAGTCCTTCAACGCTGTGTTCTCCAGCATCAAGGATTCTACCGAAAAAGGTATATTCATTCAGTAGTTCTATTGGTATTTTTCAATCATGCTCATCTCGTATTGAAAATCTGTCAATATATGTTATCCAACTCTATCCATCTTTGCGTTTCTGTCAGTGCTCTTATTAATGAAGTAGAATTTGAATGAATTTATTGTTATTGAATATTTCAAACAATTCTACATCCATTGAATATCCCGGTTTCAAACAGGATACTTCCAGAACTATTGCAATTCCTCATGAGCATGTTCATTTCAGTCTCGAGCGTCCTATCCATTCGCGATGAAATGCGCCAACCTCGCGCATGCTGGTGACCAGTTGGTCAGCGGATCTGATACAGGCTCAAGCTCAACATCTCTACCCGCCTCACCGAATCTTTCAAAGGTATTCAGATTTTATCCATATTAATTCTTAATTTTTTTCTACTCATCAAAAGAGAAAGTATCTTCATGAATGGTACAAGAGAATTGTCTAGTTGTCATTCTCATCCCATCGTTGTTGTTGTTATCATGACATATATAGATTTTAATCTTACCATTTTGATCACAATCGTGATTCATACATACAAACATCTGAAAGCGATGAAGGAAATGCATCCTTTGACAGCAATTGATTGTTTATCCGCATTTCCTTTCAATATTTTAAGACGTCTCCTTTGAATACTTACATGTAAATTTCAACTGCCGTATACAAACGCATAATTTTTTCAAAATGATTTTCTCACTTTGATTCTGATGTGATCGTTCCTAAACTTAAGTCAAATCCCTTCAAAAAGAATTGATTTCTTCAGATGATACCGAATGACCAAGACAGCACTCATCTCAAAACTGTCTTGGAGGATGAAGATTCTACCAATTCGAATGAAGTGAGTGGAACGCAACAAGAAACCGAAGTTGAGCACATGAATCATACGGCAGCGACACTGCCACAAGAGCCTGTATCAGATGCGAGTGGAAACGAAAATGAGGTAAATGTTGTATTCGAATAGTACTCAATGAAACCAGCAGTGCTTTCGCTATCGTAATCGTCATTTTACTTTTTTGAGTATCATTTTTTCATTTTACTTTTTTGAGTATCATTTTGAGCATCAATAGTAAAAGCAATAACACGTTCAAGATGACGGATATACGACAATCTGTACATGAATGTAATTGGATCTTGTTCCTTTTCTTAAGAAATATTGTTTCGGGCTAAAGATATCCTCAAATTAATTAATCATTCCAGGACAAAAATATCATCAGATCAACTCCAACGAAGTATGTACCCTCAGCCTACGATCCTCTTTTGGACGCAACAGAAGTTGAGAGTACTCTACAAGACAGCACTTTACACAATTTGGATGATACTTCAACCAATGATGACACTTCACACCAAGATGGCATTCCCCAATATCAGAATACAACAATTCAAGACAATTCTATAATTTGTCCAGATCAGAGCAATGCTCTCCAGGGCACCGAAGCCTTCCTACCGGATCTGAAAGATCAGGATAAAACATTCGAAGATGAAAATTACGAACATCAGGATAAAAATACTGCATTGAATCGTACAACAACAGACAACACTCAAGATATCAGTTGTCAATCCAACGTATCAGTCACGTTGCCATCAGTAAGTGACTGCTCATTTTCTTTATAATATAAATTTTTATCCCTATTTGTCAAATCACTGTTTTTTAAAATTATTTTATGATTGTTCCTTTTCATAATAATACAGTTTCCCAATCGAATCAGTTCCATTTCTATTGCTATCCATCCGCATTCGTCAACTCACTTTCAGTTTTCCAAAACCAGATGTAATTTTTTTTTCACGAAATGAGTGAACAAATTTTTTATTAATTCTAGATGCTTGTTTGTTTCAAAAATATATCATACGCTGATATATTTTATAAATATATCATATTTATAATTATGTCCGGAAAATGAAATTGAATCCCAGAGTTGTAAGATTTTCGAACTTTCAGAATTTCTTCTCCACTCCGCAACCCGCAACAATCAATCAGAATTTTCTATCGGTACCTAACGCATCTCCAGCCGTTCTGAACGCCACCGCCTCGCCAGTTGGATCTCCATTAGCGGCCTCAACACAAGTCTCAACACCTGATCATGCCCAAACCGAGGATAAGCACAATGCGAGTGGTAAAGATGGTGAAGAAGTGAAGGTGAATCGTTATTCAGAGGATATATGATAACATTATTTTTATAAATAATTAATAATTGTTAACATTATTCTATCAGCATTATTCTTATTAACATTATTATTCTCATTGTTATTGTTATTATTGCTGTTCATCTCAATAATGATAAGTATTCTCTTAATTATGTTTTGTCGGAGATCATATTCCAAGCATATGCGATCCATTGCCATCAGAATTGAATCAAATCGTTTTGATAATTTACTGAATTCAGATTTTGAACGCCACTAAATGTGACGATAACGACGGTGGGATGTCCACAGACGTAACAGCTGAATCGGAACAGCAGCTTAGCAACATTTCAACTGATAGCACATTGCGTTCTGAGCCTGGTTGCGTATTTGAATATGTTTTCGTTTATCTTTAGCGAGTGTTGTTAGGAGCTGAAATCAATATGCTTAATTAGATTGAGTCAAAAGTAAGTAGATGTAATCGCCATATCATACAAATTATTCTACGTTGGAGATTCGAGAATGGGTCTAAAAGGGTGAAATGGTCGCAGTGTGACATGGATAAATTGGAACAGTATGACATGGTTAAATTGGACGTAGAATTAATTGCAGGTACTATTGAAGCACTCGAGAAGAAGAAGAGACGTGTGCGAGAGTCTCTGATGCCACTTCCGTCCACACCATCGGATTTGATAGCTCATGTGAGAGAGCGCATCGATGACTATTCGTTCCGTATAAATGAGGCTTATTGCGATGAGTCGCAACTTTGTGATAACTGCTATGCGATGAGAGTCGAGTTGGAGAATATCACAGAAAAGGTAGCAATTTAATAATATCGTCCTTCTTATCATTATTGTTGTCATTATGACAATGTTCTAGTCGTGTGCAATTTCAGTTATGTGCAGTGACCAAAGAGCATAGTCATTGCAAGGAATATGGCGATATTAAGCAGTCATCACTTGAAGATGTCGGAAAACTAAAGGTTCGTGCGAAATTTCTTTGAGATGCTTATTGTTCTTATGTAGCATTGTTAATTATGTGTATTCTGGGAGGTGAGATGAGAAATTAGAAGATGAGATTCTCATGTAGATTCTGAAAAGATTCTGGAAAAGGATATCATTCTCGTGTAGCATTTTGATACGAAGATAAAAAAGAAAAGAAATGCTTGATAGTATTATAAAGACAACGAGCTTATATAAGAGGTTATTGTGAGTTTGGGAAACGATCGTAAATTTTTGGTTGATTTTAGAGTGAGTTTGAAAAAGTTAAAGAAGAAGTATACCGCCTCTCATCCGAAAATGAACTTTTGCGACAAAAAAATGTAAGTGAAATAGATTGCATTTATTTTCTGCTAATAACTTTTCGATATGATTATGTAAATTAGATTTTAGGTGATAACGTAGTGTTGTTATAAGAATATTAATCGAGTTATATGCCAGTTATGTGGTAGAGTTAGCTATTATGATTGTTATTATTAAGGCTGAAAGTGAATCAGCTGAACTGGTGGAAGCTTTGGCGGAGCTGCAGGAGGCCAGAAATAGGGATGCCGTCGAAATTGAGCAGTTACGCGAGGCGAATGTATGTCTTTTTGATTGTTCTTTTCTTTTTCTTTCGATATTACGATTCTGGTTATTTTCATTATTATCATTATATTACTGTCATTTTTTAGTTGTTGGGGAAGTTCAGTAATGTCACGATTTCTATCGTTATTATGATGAAATTCGGTTCTTTTCATTATTATCTTTATTTATATCAGTTTTTTATTCAGAGCAAGTTGTTGACGAAGTTTAATAATGCGTGTAAAGATTTGGACGACTACAAATTTGTGATGGAGTTAGAGGTGAAAAAATGGAAGGGTATGGCTGATGAGTACAGGAGACAGGTTCGTTGTTAATGTAGTCATGATAATAATAAATAATATAGTGGAGGTACCGTGAGTGATGATATCCTTAATGGCATTCATTTTTCAGTCCATTGACTTGGAGAATAAACTGGATGAGAACGAAAACTTAGACGAGGTATTGAAGCAAAAGGAATTGGAGTTGAAAGCGCAATATGAAGCCGAGTTACTGGTAGGATATTGTTGGTCTCATCGTTGTTGTTGTTCCTCTTTAATTTGTTAATTTATTACTTTGATATGTTATTTGATGTGATATTCTTTGATGTTATTCTTTAATGTGTTTTCTTCTTTAGTATGGTATTAATATTACATTGTGCTAGATATTATCACTATATTTCAGAGTATTAAGCAACGTTTGGAATCGGAAACTATCGACGCAAAAGCATTGGTAGATGAAAATATGAATGGTATCATGGATAACCTAAAGAAGCAAGTTATGACCCTGACAGGACAACTGGCCGAAGAGAAGGCGAGGAACGAGGAAATCGAAGAGCAATTGAAACTCGCCTCGTTGGATCGTGAAGAGCCTCTAAATAAAGTTTTTCCCAATGAGGAAAATAATTTGGCCGCGGAAGAATGTGAATTTTTGAAACGCAAAGTGGAAGAGCTTCAAGGTGAATTGGTAAAAATGGCGGAGAAAGAGAAGAGTGATTCGGGCAGACGAGAAAATCAGCCGAAGGATCACGCTGGAGATCATAACGAGGATAATGGGGAATTTGTGTTGCAATGGAGTGAAGAAAGTGTGCAGAAGGTGAAGGACATCGAAGAATTGAATGGAAGAATTTTGGATTTGCAGCAAAAACTTTTGGAGAAAGATGCAGAGTGCGATGAAAGACTGGAGATGATGCGTAAGGAAGTGGAGAAGGCTCAGGATGAGATGAAGCAGTTGAGTGAAGAGCGGGACGAATTGAGGGTTAAGCTCTCGGAAGTCGAACTGAAACTGAGTGGAGAGCGGGAGGTGAACGAGATCATACAAGATGCTCTGAAAGAAAGTGAGGCCGAAAGTGTGCAACTGAAAAGCGAAAAGGTACTGATTGAAAGCAAACTCGAGGATTTGATCAGAGAGAAGAGTGAATATGAACAAAATGGTGAAAATTTAAAGATATCGCTGGCAAACATGCAAAAAGAATGTGAAAAATTGCGTTTAGAAATGGCAGAGAAAGAAGAGAAACTGGGTGAATTGGCTGAGAAATTAAGAGAGGAAGAAAGAAAACGAGAAGAATTGGAAAAATTATGTGAGGAATTGAGAGAACGAGAGAGCAAGAATGCGCAAGTTACAATGGATCAACAAGTGCAGGAAGAGAAAGTCAGATCGCTAGAGCAAGAGATCGAATCGTTGAGAATTGAGATTACGGAGTATGAAAAGGTTACTTTAGACACTCACCTCTTTTTTGTTGTATTTCTGAAAAATTTTTAAATGTTTTGGGAATTTTCTCAGAGTTCTCAAAAATTTTGACAATTTTATTTTTTTCAGATTCTTTTTTGTAATAGAATTTCCAGTTATGACGTATTGTTCAATGTAAACATAATTTGAACTCAAAAATGAACGAGATAAATTGAAGCAACGATACGTGAATGAAATTGAATAAATTGAGAAGGAATAATAATCCAAATACTTGCAATATTCCATGAAAATGGAGTAGAAATATTCTGAAATAAAATTGCATATTATAGAAGAACGTTGAATACGTTGAGAGAATCGAGCAATTGGACCAACTCAAGAATGGTTTAGAGTCAGAAATCGAAGGATTGAATGCGAAGCTGGGTGAAGAAGGCACTGAGAAGAGCAATCTGCAAAAGGAATGTCAAAAATTGGAATTACAATTGGAGATTCTCAAGAAAGCTTCAGATGATATGCAAAGAACATTGCAAAATCAGTTGGACGATATGAAAACGGAACACGAGAAAGCCGTTAAGGTAACTTTTAACTCATTAAGCCATCTTCTCAAAGATATCGAATAATGATTTGTGTACAAGTGACCGTTTGTTTGATATGGTTTATATCAGTCAT